ATTTTTCTACTTATCCTTCAATTTGGCGATGTAATCGCAAGGAATTAGAAATATTTATTTATCATTCATCTAAGTTACAAAGAATTCAAGACATTGTATCATTTGAAAATGATTTGAAAAAGTTTTATTTCATTAGTTTATTAAAATGTTCACTTAACCTAAATAGGAATTTCACGATTATTAATTAAATTTATTAATACAAAGCGAAGATTATTTGTACTAAATTCTTATTGCGAAAACAACTTAACAACAAACGGATAGATTCATATGCAAACATTAGTCCGGAGAGAGTGAAAGCAACTGTTTCAAACCTCGACGTTGAGGTGCACTTGTAAATCGCGTATGGCTCCCAAGTGCATGTTCAACCATGCGACAAATGTGTGGCAGCCAAACATTCCGTGGGGTGTGTGGCTTGTAGTTCTCTCCAGCTACCGTTGCCACAGAAGCCAGAGTCAACAGACCCACTCTCCGTCGAGGCATGACACCCTCCACGTCATTAACCGATAGTTCAGCAGCAATTTCCGTGTCTCTGTAGCATCGTTCGTCGCAGGAAATCCTATGGTTCGAATCTCGAGGGGGCGAATTTTCGTTACTACCTAACACTTAGGTGGGTGGGAGTCAGTATTTGTTGGGGGGACAATTCTCGGAGGACTGATTTTAGTGCTTTTATTCGAGAGCACTCGGTATCTCCATATGAAACGGGTCTCGAACCACGGGGTGTCTTTCCTTCTTCAAATCTGCTTCTCTTTTCTCTCACATCTATAAATATGTAGTATATAGTTCACTACCACACATGTCAGTTGTGTAGAGCTTGTCACCAATGGGGTATATCCGTGAGAGGAAATACATCGCAAATACTACACGAACGGGACTAGTGACCCAGGTAGTTGATGTTCATGAAATCAATATTCACCCATCCATGAAGTCATACCTCTTCGATCACTTCGATTATCCAACCCACTCAACCACACCCTACCTTATCCACCAGATCGCTCCGATCACATCAATAGCTCGAATAGATTATAGAGTATACTCTGAACATTCCGACCTCCTCGACCATCCCGACCTCCTCGACCATCCCGACAATTCCGACCACCACGACATTCCGACCTCCTCGACCATTCCGACCTCCTCGACCATTCCGACCACCTCGACCATTCCGACCACCTCGACCATTCCGACCAACTCGACCATTCCGACCAACTCGACCATTCCGACCAAATCGACCATTCCGGCCAACTCGACCATTTCGGCCAACTTGACCATTCCGACTACCTCGACCATTCCGACTGCCTCGACCATTCCGACTACCTCGACCATTCCGACTACCTCGACCATTCTGACTACCTCGACCATTCCGACTACCTCGACCATTCCGACTACCTCCATCATTCCGATCACTTTCGCCATTCCGACCACTTTCGCCATTCCGACTACTTTCACCATTCCGATCATCTCGACAACTCCAACGGCACCCACGAGCGAAACGTTCCCCCAACACACACGATACGTCTCGTGCACAGTGCCACATCCTGAGCAGCCGCCCGTTTCCACAGCGATGCCTCGTGGGCGCGCGTAACACTTCGTTCAGCCGCCCCCGCGCCTGTTGCGCCACATGATCCGCCTCCCGGAGGAGTGGCGCCACGCCCCGCCGCGCCTGCGCCGCGACGCCCGGATGTGTGCCGCGCCGCGCCGTGGGGTGCGTGCGAGCATGCGGCAGCTCTGAGGCCCTGCGTGAATAAGGCCACGGGGGAGGCACGAAGGGCGTGGCACGGGTCTGGGAGAACGAAAATCACTTTGGGAACCGCTTCGATTCCTGCGTGAGACATTCGATTTTTCAGACGCGAGTACAGCGGTTATTAATCCCGGAAGTCTAATGTATGGTATAGCCGCGAGGAGGTTTTGTTCCTCCCCTGTTTTAACGTGGGATCCGACGACGACCTACACCGCGACTTGCTGTTTTATCCGCTGTCATGAACCTCCCACCTGAGCACTAGTCTAGCGAGGGCAAGTTTAAAATCTCCCGACCGGTCTCTCGACATCTGTACACGTATAGCCGCTATAAGTGTGTGTATGTGTATGTGTATGTGTATGTGTATGTGTTTGTGTATGTGTATGTGTATGTGTATGTGTATGTGTGTGTGTGTATGTGTATGTGTGTATGCGTGTGCGCGCGCGTGTAATGGGAGAGCTGAGGTTCCTGGCTCGTTTCTTAAGTTGCTCCTTTGGAATTACCATGGTACTTACTGCAGAAATCACAGAAAACTAACGATCGAAGCACGCAACTGACGAGCGAACCTATCATTACACAGAAGGATTCAGGATAGTGACCGATCAGAACACACCATCTTCAAAATGCCTTCAAAAAGTAACATTTTTTGTTATTTATGGTCGCATAAACATCTATATCATTAGCAACCATTATTGCACATGACATGACATGGTGATGATACGGAGGTGAAAGGACGAACAAAAATCCAACCATGGTCGATATGGAACTCGAACCCGCGATCTTCTGGTCCGAGATCGCTACGGCACTACTACCTTAACAATTTCGGCCATCCGGACCGGCAGTGACATCTTTATTTATCTTGTTTCGAAGAGTTGGCTATTATGGAGCCTTGAAACAGACTTGCTACGTAGATTTATTACCTCTGGCTTTTTGCAGTGTATAAATATATAATCAGAATCAAATGAGCATCAGTAATTAGTTTTTAATTACATGATATTTAATGATGTTATGTTCAACCGTTTCCGTGGAACACAATGAATAAAAAGTCAGAACGGTGACTTCTATCACCAGTCATTCATTAAGATATTTCTTCTAGAATATTTTAGAGTTGGTTTTCATTAATTAATCCAAAACAGGAAATAAAATTTCGCCGATTTAAAGAAGGTACTATATAATTAATTTTCCATGCGAATTGAATGCAATTGAATTCCAATGCACAACTGAAAAAAATCTTCGCAACTTTCGATCGTGAGAGATGTCTATGGTTACGTTAGATACCAAGAAACTCGAGCCAAATCGAAAACCAATGAAACAGTTTCGATTTCGAAAAGGCGAATATTAAATTGTGTTATTCTTTTTATCTTAACGTGGGCGTCTAGACTGAATTACTTAACTTATGGAGTCGATATATATGACTTATTTGCTATGCGACCGCAAGATTCTAAAGAAGGCTGGTAAGGAAGACCTACGGTCGCTTTTAATTATTTGTTATTTACGTGTTGTGATATTGAACTACTTTATATTTTTGGTATGTCAGAGAACTAGTGTACTGTATGTATGAATTCTACTGTTTTTGCATTATTCGTGAAGGCATCTTTGTTATAATATTTTATTGCGGTGTTGTACGCGAGTGCCTCATCTACTAATTTTTAACAATGCACGAGCTACTTTTTGGAAATCCATTTTGTGCGGATTTAACAGCATTGCTTCCGGTAAATAGCTTATCAAAAAGGGCATTAATCCATGAAAATTAATGTTACTGAAAAAAACATTAGAAAAACTTTAACTCATATGCCTTTTTACGATAATGAATAATTTTGTTCTTTTATTTTTCGGCAATGGCCCACTGTATCCTGTGCTCTCTCAGTGAATCAGGTGTTGTTTTCCGTGCGTGCAGACACGACTGCGTGTTTCGTGACACTGTCGTTCAGCCTACGCCTGTTTGGTTACGCTATTGCGTAGTAACGTACTGTTGCGAAAGAAACGCGCTGAATGCTGTGCAAAACACGGCAGTCTGTGAGTTGGGTCGAAAGAACTAATAACAGGAAGAGTTTCTAGTGCAGGAATCTAGCCGAAGTTAATATTACGAGTACGCCCAATGTCAGAACATCGAAGGTAAACAATGAATTAGGATAATAAAATATCTTATAAAATGAAAGAAACCTTCTTGGTTATGATATCTACTAGATTTTATCAATCTCGAGAGTTAATGTGCTTTTTAAAGAATGAATAATACTAACGTTAGCAGAGATTATTTTCGGCAAAAGTGACTCATGAGTACAAACACATTTGTATAATTCACTAGTTTATAATCACAATTTTATTGACAAATATTAGCCCTTGAATATATTTAAAACAATTCAATAGACAAGTAAGAAACCAAAATAGATATGTAATCATCAGCACAAGACTGGTCTAACTCACGTACATTGCAATTGAAGTTATTTTTTTAATCGCATATCAAGTTGTAAATATATGCAAATATATGACGATTTCAGTGTGTTCATTCCCATATTCCAAAAAGAAACATTTAACTGCGCCCGCATGAGCTACTTGCCCACGTGAGAACCTCGGCGCTCCTGCTAGCACGGGCAACATCCCCTGAATCCCCCTTACATCTCTCTTCCAAATTGACCAAGGAGTTTTCAAGCCAAGCTCTACCGCGCAAGGTAAGCACAAGGCACGCTCCAAACATCACGAATTGTTGCTTCATACAAAATCGTATTTGCTGAATGTTTTCTAGCAAACAACCAAGACCTAATTATTTTTCTATAATTTATTAGTTTCCTCCATATTTAGTTTCTTTTCAAATTTTTCCTTGTACAATCTTCAACAGTAGGCGGGAACATATTTGAATGGAATATTATTTAACTTTCACTTTGTGTTCTTTTAAATGATTCTTTTTTGTTGAACGTACCAATAAAGTGATATAAATTAATGAGTCTGTATATTTTTTTCTTTACTAAATATAGGAACTTAAGGCGATTATTGCACACAAAAATAAACGATTATAAAATAAAGATCCTTTTGATTAAACAATTTTACGGATGTGTTCCAATATTACTTGTGTAATTCAAGTTATTGTATTCCTTCTTTGCTTTAGTACAAGAAATTAATAACCTTAACTTTGAGGCAATAACCTGACAATTAACTTCTCCAAAAGACAATATCCCGGGTGGTCAGAGACATAGCGTCTTCTCCCCTCCACCACACGCAGACACATTTGAACAACCTTACTTTTAAATACCGCGGCAGTGCTGTGGACGCAATGCTCGCAAACTATAGTAAGGTTACCTTGCCGGCGACCTTGACGTGTCTTTAGTTAGAAATTCTGTTGCGTTTTGTGCTATAGTGGCATATTCCAAAAACTTTCTATTATGCATCCTGAACCATTACTACTCTTACAACTATGCCATCATTTGTTTGAGTACAGAGTGTTCTAATTTTAACGATAAATATATATTAAATAAGCTAATTTCCTTTGCATAATATTTCCAATTGCAAATAGAAGTTAATTTTGCGAGTTGTGTGTGATCACGGTGCAAAAACCAAAGTGTTAAAAATGCTGTCAATATTTTTTAATGAAAATGGCCCTATGACTAATTCTGAATAAAATGATTACAGCAATAATTGCCTAAATTTCAGTTCCAAGTCTCTAAACTTTCTCAATGCAATAGTGGCCTTATCCACAAAAAAAATGTTTTAACCTATCAAGCTTGTCACCATTATGAACTTTGTAAAGCAACCCAAGTTCGGTTTCATTCAAAACAGTTTGCGCCACGAAACAAAATATACTGAAATTTTTGTAATAATAAATATGTTATTTCCTCGAAAACTAATTCGGGATAGGCTCCAAAACGTTCCGATAACACGTGCACTATATGCATACATTTTATATTTATGAAAATTGATAGTAAATTTCACGATAATTTAAAAATGTTTTTGGGAGATATTTAAATATGTTAAGGTCACTAAACGCTCTTTGAGAATGGGATTGATGCGTTTTTATGATTCAAACATTTTCTAAGAACGTAGTTTGCTCTGAAAGATTTCTTGCATAAACCTTTCCAAAAAGGCATTGGACACTGCTACTTCAAAAAATTAAAATTAACATAGCCCAATTGTCTCCTATTATAATAGAATTATTTTAGTTAGTAATATTGGTATTCTGAATTTGTACATGCTGGTACGTTTCAGAAGGAAAACTAATCACGGAATATATGTTTTCGAGTTTTGATACTTTATTATTGAATTTCAGAAACAATCTTTTTCCTTTAAACTGAATAGACGTATCTGCTGAAGAAATTTTTGTTCATCCATGAAAAGTGATGACTACACTATCAGTTTCATCGAAAAATTAAGAAGAAATCTTGTCCAATTATTGTGTATGACCTGCAGGAATTTTCTAAATTGAGTAAATATGTGAAGAAAGAAAGGTAAATGTTTAGCAACAAGATAATTTTTAAGAACTTTATTTTTTATTACGATCTACATTCTTTACATGAAACAATGATAAAAATTTAATGCAATATTTCCTTCGCACCTGAATTAATCCCTTTCAGCAGATTTCAGGTGCAACGTTCAATTCAGGCGCTGTATTGGAAGAAAGAACTCTTGAGGGGAGAGCCTGTAAGGAAAATCAATATTAAATAATAATCACGGTAATGAATTAAGATAAATTCAAAACAGAATAGAAAATTAAGTAGCAGCATATTTTATTCAATGCAACCTTGTTTCTGCCAATGCTAAGTAGTTTCAATTTTCCATGAATCAAGAGCTCAAATTTTAGCCTTATATTCCAAAAGCAAATGTATTAATTTATATTAATGTTTTTTTCCCGTTTCTAACACTATGAAACTCCCATTAGTTGCCACTACATCAATTTCCGGAGAACTTCCAGATGAAGGAAAAAAATGTCAATTTCTTTCCATTACTGAAAACCACCGACCCGCTATTTCAGAAAAAAGTTACCAGGATATTCATTCCTTCCAACCTAGGCAGAGTATTTCACAGAATTATTTCCCGCAAATGTGAAACCAGAGTGCTTACCGAACAGTAGCCCTTTGCATCCCTTGGCCTGATCCTCTGAGAGCTGAAAGTACATAATTCCTCCCAATACTTTAAACCCTGCGACTTATTTCATTCGATATTTGGGAAGAGAAACCATATCAAAGTTTATAAGGATTCAAAACCTGATAGAATATGCTCTTTACATTGTATTTGATGTGGCTTAGTGGCTACAAATCAGACCAGAAATCTATAAACCATTCCAACCCACATTTTTCGAACAACCGGAAAATAAGGGAAGTGCATTTGCTTTGCAAATTCCCTAAAATATTGATCAAAGACGTTTCATTTTTTGACCAAAAGTAAAGGTAGCCGAGTTTCGCACAAACTTCCACATATTCTTTTAATTCAATAAATTATCGATTTTTTTCCACAAAATATACGAGGTATGAACATTTATTTCCTACATATTCCCTATTTTCGCAAGAATAAAATACAAGGAATATTTTTCCAAATATTTTTCATTCAACACGCACTTGTTCAAGTCTTACTTTGAAATATTCACAAAGTCTAAAATTTCTATTATTAATTATTTGTCAAACTATCTTTTAATAGAAAAAATGTTATTTATGATACGAGAGGGAAAAGAGATTTTATTTTACTCAAAGCAAATATTGCCACATGAGGCTGATCGCGTGGCGCAAGTGAAGTAGTAAAATGAAGTCGCTTCCCACGTGTGTCACTACTTTTAGACAGCTTTAACGATTTATTTAATTTTTATAAGTAGACAAATTACTCAACGATACATTAAGGTCAGTAGGAGCTGACGTGATCGGCCGAAAGGATTTTGTTTTCTTTGTTGCATTCACAGACTTATCTGAACACTTTAGCATCGTTTCACTTTTAGCGTTAGTGCTAAAACTCTAACTTTTTGCACGCCCTGAAAAAACCGCTTTTACTAATGGATGTCTAAAAATAAACTCGCAGGAAAATAAGTTGGAGGGACAGAACTCACGGGGTGTCGGGCGACCAACGTCTTAACAACGAGGTGACGTGAACGGACTGCGAGCTGTTTGGGAGTTTCCTTCGACTCTCGGGAGTGCAGCTTAGTCGAGTTGGTATCTTATTTCATTTGGAGTCTGCAGCTGCAAGCCTGCAAGCAAAATCAATACAAGAACATGTATAGCTTTATTGCTTTAAACTTCACCGCACTGTACTACAATACTCACTTTATGAATGTTCTTGAAGACTTCTGGCTACGTGAATTCGAAGTTAGGGAATAAAAGAACAAGTTATCACTTCCCTGCCCCTCGTGTCATGTCTACCTACAGCTAATCACTTCCCTGAGCGACATTCCCTCGATGCGAGAACATCGCCTCGAAATATCTCCACGGATTCCCTCGGTGGAAGATTGTTCTAGAACGCTTTGCTCCGAGGTCACGGGCATTCGGGAAGTATTCGAATGTACTACGTACCTCTGAGGAAAACGTTTCAGAACACCTCCATTACCCATGAAGGGTATGTTCAACGAAGAGCCCTGGCCTAGCCGGACTGCAAGGGTATTTCCTACGCAAGGTCCCTAAGTTGCCTTTGCAGACAAGCGGAGAATAACTAACCAAAGATTCCGCGCCTACTACAAGCTCAGTTAATGTGATGTGTGCCTATGAGCCTGCAATACAATCACGAACTACGCGACGAAGAAAACATTCCTCTGAAAATGAAGTAGCATTAGACTAATATGACACGAGGAGCCTCGTTATATCTAACTGAGCAGGGCAATGACTGCACACCCATCCCCAAAACCCATTAGTGTCTGCAAGGAAAGATCTGATACACCTGTTTGGTTATTCGCATTAGTTATTTGTATCTACACAGATTCTAACCAATAATTACAAAGTATTGAATAAGAATAGTTCTCAAAAGAAATGAAAATGAAATTACTGTAGTAAAAATACCATAAATAATCTAACTTTGAATTATTAAGGACAAAACTGAAAAACGCGTCATAACATTACAGAAAAAATATGGTTTACTTGAAGCCATTTGTAGCTGCACAATCAATACACGTTCAATGCATATCAGTCTTTGCCTTGACATTTACGCGCTCCCTAAGTGCAGCCAAAAGGGAGGGAAGGTGGCGCTCAGCGTACCCGGGCTCGACGCCTCGGCTGCGAGAGGCCACAGAGGTGGCGACGCCCTGCTCAGTGCTCCCTCTGCCACAGACCTTTGCTGCCTCCGCCAGCGCAGCCCCCGGGCGGCGAACGGGCGTCCGCACTGCAAAGCTCCCTCGGCGACACAAGGCAGACTGCGCTCTGCGCCCTTCCACTTATTGCGCCTTCCCCTCGTGCCCCACCCCGTTGCTCGCCCCTTCGCGCCTTCCCATTGGTTACTCCCCGCCCAAGTCGGAGGAAATGATAATATTATATAATACATAATTTATAATTACTATTTCAAAGAACTGTTTATTTTATGATTCTTAACAGATGAATGAACGTTTTATTTTCAGTTCTATTTAACGCATATCCATTAGAGTCTGAATGGTGGGCAATACGATGTAACGTCCCTTCCCGTGTGAGGAGAGGAGAAAAGAGTGGTAGCGTTGGAAGCTCCTTGATTGCAGAGAAGGGATGTGGAGGTGTTGACGATGCAGGTAATAATTCCAAGGTCTTTGCGCGATTCGATTTTATCTAGAACAGTGGTGTGACACTACATAGGGCACATATAGTCCTTATTTAAATTCCATACTGTAGCGAATCAGAGTTCAGAGCGACGCCATATACATATGTACAACACCAATTCGCTCAAGCGGAGAATAGATGAACTACTTATTCATTTTAAAATTTTTTCGCAAACGAGCCGGTTGGTTATCATTGGATTCCTTCCTCATCGACCTATAGTTGTATATTCACGTGTTGTTCGTAGGGCTTTTAACGCCTTATCGCAGTCAGTGAATTAGAGAAATGAAGTGATTTACTGTTGTTTGAAGTCTGAAGCGTGCATTTTGGCGTCGAGAAGATGCTGGATGCCTAACAAATATTGGAATTTTTTTAATGTTCCTGTTCAGTTGCAGATCCCTTGTTTGGACCAAGCGAGGTGACACCCACTATAGCAATGGGTGTAGTTGGTAAGACTTTTTAATAGAATATTACTAGAATATAGTTTTAATAGAATACATTTTTATAGTTTTAGTGGAATATATAGTTTGATGGGAAGCTATGTTACCAGCATTTTTTTTTATTTTCAGATCCTTGAACACAGGCAGCTTTTCAAACTGAAAATGTAGCACTCTTGTATGTTTGTAAAATGCAAAAGAAGCATGCTATTGAAAGCATAATGTATTGGTAATAATTTGTTGTTGATTAATACAGGTTCTAGTGCTGTTGAACATGCTGCTACAGCAAGTGCAACAGATGCTTATTCTAGCCTTGTGAAAGGTGAATATTTGCTATAATCTTTCAGAATCTCAATTATTACTTTGTGGCATTTACTGATGATGGAATAGATTTCAAGTTTGTCTCTCTTTTCAGATCTTTTTCACCCATGTGAGGTGTCACCTTAAGTTTTAATGGACGTTTCTCATGGTATGTTCCTTTCAATATACAGTTATTAGTGCCAATTGAGGGTAAATTATTGTAAATAAAAACCTCTTTTTTTGGTGATTACAGATCTTGTACTTTTGGCCAGGTGCAAGAAGCCATTCTGGGAGATGAATCTGCGCCTTCGGTGTGTGATAAGTGCAAGATATTCCTGTGCTTTCTAATTTCGTAATTCTAGTTGGTGAATTAAAAGAAACATCTTTCTTTTTGATACAGATTTGTTTTCAGAACATTCATTTGAGGACATAGTATCTTTCTTAACATCATTTTTTGCTTTTCAGATCCTCTTCCAGAGATGGCTTCTGAAGCATGCATATTAGACCCTACGAGTTTGACCCTAAGTGGCTTTAAATTAATGTTCACCTTGAAGAGTCAGAACTCAGAGAGATAATTTTAAAGAATTATTGTTATGTGCAGTTAATGACTTGCTTCATTGTGCACAAAGATTCTGAAGATATCTCTTTTACGTTTATAGTTTTACGTTTGTAATGGTACGAAGAATGAGAGTTTTAAAATCAGTGTATATTCTGTCATTGGATACAGATCCATTATATAAACTGTATTTCCCACATCTGATTTGGAAAGTTCTAATTAAATAAAATTTAAAGATAAAATTAATTCTGTAAAGCATGATCATTTTTTTCTATTTTGGAATGCCTCTTGCTATGTTAAGACACTTTATTTGAATATTATGAATACAAAGGTTTTGAGTTTCTCTTTCAGAGGCTACTTTCATGCAATTTTAGAAATTCTTTAATGCTTATTATCTAGTCTGTATTTTTTTCCTTTCTTATTAGTATTAATTTTTATTATTAGTATTGATATAAGTTGCTTATGTATTGTTATACTGTTCTGACAATAATTGTTTTTCATGACAAACACGATCTTGATTCAATTTATATTCTACTATGTGTATATCATTGTGTTTTGTTCATACTCATGCCAATTACATTCTGGATTTGAATGCTGATTCTTATTAGATTGTGAATTGTTATAAGCCGTGAATGCAATGCTTGATTCTATAGTTCAGTTATTAGGACATTTGCCCAGTTATCAGAAGGTCCCAGGCTTGGCTTCTGGTGCAATCAAATATTTGCACTTTGACAATCCATTTTCAGAATTAAATTGTAGTGCATAAGCATTGATGGAATTCCACTATTTGTAAATCATTGTTTTAAAAGTGAGTGTAGTTTCACAGTGGATCCCATTTTAAAAACTCCAGGCTCTGAACTGTGCATGTGTGAGATTAGCATGGGTAAATAAACTAATTTTGTCAAATATTTATTGACTACTGAAAAACATTTTTAGGTTGCAACTAGTAAAAGCGGCTCTTTCAAGACATGCACAGCATGCTAAAAGCTCAATTTTTTGCACAACTGCTAAAAGTGGGACAATGCTCAAATGTTCTGATAAAACTTTGAAAGCAACAAAGAAAACAAAAAAAAAAGTTCATGTGACCTAATCAGATACTAATGATCTTAATGTAACAGTACATATTTATGTAATTCGTGTTCTTAATGGCTTAAGTAATTCGCAAAATAAAATGCTACTTTTATCCCTTGTATCATTACTATTTGTTTTGCCTGTGCAAATGTGCGGTAGTATTTTCATTTGTTTCTTTTCAATTCTGTTCCTATTGTTCATTCATAATGCTTGTAATAATGTAGTATTCCATAGTATTAATTTGGCATATCTACAAGCAAATACTACAGTTGCAATTATGCAGGTGTACTGTTTATTACTTTCTGTAATACAAAATTGATTTAGAAATTAATTACGAAATTGTATAATATCAAAATGCTCAATAAATACTAGATTTTACTACCCTAATTTGACTTTTTTCTTTCATAAAATCCTTATAATTATTATTGTGATTTTTTAATAAACTAAGGCGTGGAAAGTATGGGAGTGAAATTTTAAAGTTCCCGCGTTGCTGGTTTATTTCAAATTTACCGGTTACTTCTTCACTGTTGGCTGCCCGTTTACCCAATAGAAATTATACAGAACAATGTAGCGGCACAGGAAGTTGGGCAAATAAGGCTTTTCCTTTTAACATTGAGTGTCGTCTCTGAAATATACTCTTTGATCTAGATTACATGTGTGCATGATATCAGCCAAAAAAGTATTCCATTAAATTTAATTTATTTCGTGTGCTTGAGGAAACTAAAATATTTGTATGTACTATTGCACAGAGTTATAATTTACGTTGGGTCTATTTTGAGTCTAATACAGATAGGTTTGAAATCATAAGGTACAGTACTTGGTTCAGTAATTGGTAGGAAGTGGTTCTTTGGTTTCAAATGGTATATTTATATTATATTTTTAAATTCACAACCAAAGTTCGAGAGGAAATGCGCGTGTATGTTTTTTTCATAGAAATGTTCAATAAAATATGCCCAAAAATCAATATTAAAATTTTAAAAAATGAAAGTAAATACAATCGTCTACATTTCAATCAGTAAAACTGTCAGTTTGTAGAACCAAATCTACACAGTAAAGGATTTTCCACATCAGTTTGCTTGAATCTGATCAGCGTCTGGATGAAAATTCGAGAGGACATTTTCGTGGTTCCCAGCAATTACATGCAGATACCAGAGCAGTACAATAAAAAAGGGCAATGACCCACACGAGATATTTCGTTGCCTATCATGCTTCCACATAAATCTTTGTAGCCTGATTTCCAAAACGAAACCAATGTAGTGCGCTGATTAATATTATGTTGAATAACATTCACCGTTGATGAAATCTGTTGATTGTTGAACGACAGTTGAATTAATATGCTGAATAACAGCAACATTTCGTCATTAAGAATTCGCTTGTCATGTAAGCCAAAAAAGGCTTCGCTTTCTATACATTCTTATTTTACACATGTATCATTTTACATGCAGTTTCTAATGACAATTTAATTGAAAGTTGTACCCGCTATTTATTTCTTTTCAAGGCCTGGCGTGCAATAAAAGTGTCAGGAGATATAAATAATTCAGAGTACGTTTCTCGAATTTTAATGTGAGCTTTATACTTCCTGTGTGCGGCATATTATGATGTCAAAAAATGAGTTGTACGTCTTGCTGCAGACAACTATCAGTCTTCTTAAAAATCTCAAAGGAAGAAGATGTCTGTAAGACGAAGATCAAAAAATTGGAGAATCGAAGAATCTGTCGAAAGAATGCATCAAGAAAAATGAATTTGTTTACAAAAATATAATACGTATTAATAATTAGTGAGAGCCTGAGAACTACTGAATGTTGGTGGATGAGAAAAAATTGCCATGGGAAATGCTTGCTAAGGGAAATGCATATATAGCAATAATTATACATTTGTAGGCCTTAGATGTGATAAGTGCTACAATCGCTTTAATGGTACGTCAATATTTATATTTATAAATTTCTAATTACGTTTTTTAATCTGAAGAAAAAAAGATGCAAAACATTAAATTTGAGAAAATTGTATACCACCAATAACTGTGATATGATCGCATGGTTTTTATTAATGTTTTTATTGTCTTACTGATAACACATCTTTGACAGGACAAAACTTATCCTGAAAACATATTTCCAAGGGTACAGACAATTTTGCGGGAATATATAACATTCTTTTGGTAAAATTATACCAATATTTTTGAAGCCAAAACTTCCTGACGGGTTTTAGCTATTTGAATTAATTCAAAAAGTTATTTTCTTTAATTCTGAGACTCACTGTGACATTTTTTAGCCTAGACAAAAAAGTATTTTTTCGTATCCTCACTTCAAAATTTATGTTTACCAAAGCATTTATGCGCCACAAAGACGAACATTGGTGGCCTAGGCGAAGAGTGAATTTTAAAAGACAATTACCATGGAAACGTCAAGTAAACAAGACAATGTACAAATGACGACACAGTGGCAAAGAATATGTATTATTTTTCGAATACAGAATGATTGTAACTTATTTATTGTTAACAGTTATATTAAAAACACAATTTGATATATTTTGAAATATTATACCTCGAATTATTACGTCTTCTGTGCATTGAATATTTGTGATAGGAGTTTCAACAGAAATTGAAGTAGTCTCAACTCTAATTGAAGGAAAAGTTTTGTTTTGCAAGATTCTAGGTACTTTGTATTTATATTCCACGGAATCTTCCAGGTATCCTTCCGCTACCTTTGAACGTTTCCACCCACCAATCCTTTTAATATGTGTTAAAGTAGGTCATGCGTCTACTAATATCGTAGCGAAAGCTGTATAGATAAAACAATGTCCAGTAGACTGATTTTTAGATAATTTTAGAAACTGTGCAAACTGTGGTAGGCATTTTACCAAAGCTATGAATGCCAACAGGTTAAATGGAGCACATATTATTGATTGTTTTGCTGATTCCGGGCACGTCAACTACCAGGGTCAATAGTCCCTTAAGTGTAGTGCGTGTTGTTTGTTCGGGATGTGGCGGTGATCTTCCCTCGCTGTATGGCAAGATCCGGCGCAGACTTCCGTCGGCTAGTGAGGTTTTCCCCAAACAGGTATCTCCCACCAGGAGGTACCGACCCAGCCGGGGCAAGCTCTAAGCTCCTGTCCGGTGTCCCGGCATGTGTGCTTGTGTAGCGCATGTTAGTGTGTGAGTGAAGGGAGAAAATAGGACAAAGAAGAGGTGAGATCGCGCGCGGTCCGTGACCCGTTTGTAGAGTACTTCTCAGCCATTCGTCTGGTGTTGATCGGAGAAAGCCGGAAAATTAGCTATCAGAGCTGCCGGCTGATAGAAGTCTTCCTCAGACAGCAGTCGGACTTCAGAATTCGACCTCGCTGACAAGCTAGTTTCAAAAAATCCTCCAACCATTAGTATTTGAACCCTCCCAGTTAGATGGACTGCACACGCATCAGTTGATGCCTTGAGACATCTTTCCCGGTGTAGTTATTTTTGTAATATACGAAAAACTTGTTTTGAAGCGTGCTTTTTTGGTCGCATAGAAACATACATTCGATTAAGATTTACAGGGTTAATGATATTACATTCCGCGGTCATTGTGTTTTCGGCGCTTGTTTTAGTATTTTGAAGAGTAATTATTAGAGCTGAATCTTAGTTCTCAATATCTCTAGTTATCTTATCTCTAAACAGTTCTACTCTTCTGCATGCATCTGCGACACCAATAATCAAAGCCACCTAAATGCGCTATATATGTGAATCTTAACTCTACAAACTGCAAATTTCGTAAGAAAGAAATATTACATTACTTACTTTTATTAATAATTACACATCATCAGGTGGTAACGCCATAAATGTATTTACTCTCACTTATTTTGTAAGAATTTCAATTTTTTAGATTCAATTTTTTCTGATTTGCGCTTCAAAAATGATTAAACTCTGTGATTAAACTCTGTGGTGCCCGACATGTATGTTTTCTTTTATACCTAAGGTTGACTTTAGCATTGAATGCTTGCTCGTTAATGTTGAAGGTTTCACTTT